ATGCCACCCCCACCGTGCAAGCAGAAATATTCATACTCAGTATTGCCTAGAACAGCCCCTTTACCATTACACGACACCCAATAAGCGTCATCATGATTCGTACACCCACCGCCACATGAACCGGTTGTACCACTACCTCAAAACGTAGTTGATTTCATGCTCATTTGGACTTCCATCTAAATCACAGAAAACCGTCATCAGAATGAAGCATTAATACCGAATATCATTCATTATTTTGCGATAGCTCGTCTTACCATTACACGAGACCCGGTATCATGTCGAAAACCAAATCCCTTATGCAACGCCAACACACTCAATCAGGCCCAGTTGTAAGACTATGCGAATGCCGGTGGCAGAATGGCAAGATATCATCTCAGTTAGGTGCCAGTGATGGCTTTCCCGTGTACTTTTCGCAAACGATGGTCGTTTATATGCTTTTTGTGCAGCACTTAAATGAGATCCATGCAGCATATAGTGTATTTAGTGATCCCAGTGTTTGTATACACTAACAACTACATACCTGTATCTCAGAGGGAAAGGTAGCACCAGTGTCCGGGGCTGCCCAGATGCCTTACGATTGGCAGGCAGGGTTCGGTGCTCTCTTCAGAAGCGCTACAGCCCTTACACAGTTTAGTCGTGCTATGCAGACACATTCGAAATTCCATTCGGTAGTTTCAGAAAGTGCAAAACCTTGCTTTCGACATAGACCCTGAACATTAAATTCAGACCCCACACAGAAGTGAAAAGACTCTGGCAGCAGCATGTGCCAAGAAGGAGCAGCTTTGCTGTTCCGAAACAAGCGCTTCTTGTGTTGTGAGTTATTCGGACTCTTTCGAGGTACACACTACTTACACACTTTACCAACTAACCAGGTTTTTCTGGTACAAAATATCATTGTATCTTTGTAGCGAAATTATCAAAATGCGCCGCAGCCTATGTAGAGATGAACAAGCTTGTCTTTGGGGCTTCTTTGCCACTTGCTCGTGATGTCTGTCATCATCACAACTAACCTTAGCGTGTCACTCTTGTTTGTCTACCTTCGGAAGCACTATAGCCGGCAATGCGATCTTGTTTATGTACATGGATGGTCACGTGGCGCAGCGAAGCTGCTTGCCAAGGGACACACCACACGTTCAGTGCCACACCCAAAGCCCGGAAACGACACGACATGAAGTTTGTGCTGTTGCTGGTGCCTGAACAGTGGTGCAATTAAGAAGTGTCAGGCCGGTCAAGGACAACTCTTGACTTTCTGTGCATTCCTCCGGTTGGCGAGTTTGGTGATCAACTGGCCACTTATGACTGCAACACGCCAGAGAAGCTGCTGCTTAGATCTGCTTAGCTTCACTTTAACAAGTCCGCGCTGGAGATGGCGGCGTGGAGCTGGAGATGCAGACGCCTCTCTGCGCATTCCTTGCTTTTCACCCTTAGGAGGCACACGCGGTTACACTGCAGGAACCTTCCCACGGAGCTTGCGTGCCACGCTTTTCATAGACTGCGCCGAACCGACGGAGGTTGGAGCAGAATCAGCAAAGTGAGGGGTCACCGGTCCGTCGCTGCATTGCATTGCAGTGCTTTCCACTTCGAGCAGCCTGGTTCTCGCACACACGGCTGCAACATGTCCAGGCTCCAATCCCGCGACGAGTCGCGACAGCTTCGATGTCACCACGACCTGAAGTTCAAGCTTAGTTCTACGATGCCAGAGTAAAGCAAGCCTGTGACTGCAACTGCAACAACTGCAACCAGCAGCTGCCAATGTCAGGGACCCCCACCGGCACTCTACAGGGTCAGAAGAAAGTGAGAAACGCCATGAGACCGGTCCTGTGGTGTGGCCATGGGCAACCGAGACAGTCGGTGCCATGTAGCCCTGTCGGGTTTGCTCTTGGACGCTTGTAGTGCTTGTGCCTTCAGGTCTCGCGTGTTCGAGCGGAAACTCTTTGCCTCGGTCTCTTCTCTCTTCGAAGCGGCCAGGCGACCATCGCCTGAGGGCCGCCTGAACTCAAGCGCTTGATGTGGGATGGCAAGTGAGGCGCCATGTCGGCACGTCGGCAGTGGCAGTCTTTCTGGAGCCGCAGCCCGTCTCTGCTGCCTCAGCCAGGCATCCGCACCTTCAAGAACTCCCTTCAGAAAACGCCTGCAGAAGGCCGCACCAGCATGGCAAAACACACTCTCTTGCAAACTCTCGCACTTTCGTTGTCCCGTGTAGTAACGGCAAAAGGTCCAACTCAGTCGAGTTTAGGCGCTGTCTTGATTGGATGCTCGCAACTTTGCCGCGATAAGGCAGATGTAAAGAATCTTAGTCTTTAAGTTGCTGGGTACACCACATACATGTTCCCGACTCGCAGCAGGAGCTGGAGGGCTTGAAAGCACGTGGCAGTGAGGTGGGGTCGGCGGAAGCTTCGATTAAGCAGCTGACCTCAAGGTAAATGCATGCGCCGGCAGGATGGAATTGCTGTCCAGGAATGTGATGACGAAACCTGGTGCATCCAAGTGCTGGGAGGCGCGCTGAAATCAGAAGTGCCAAGAGAAGGGCAGCAAACCGGTGCCTCGCACTACTAGCATTCGTGACTTTAGAAACACTGCCACTGGCAAAAGAACTCATTACTGTAGATCGTTAGATTCTGGACAATTCACTAAGACGGGAATGCGCACGGTCGTGGTATTCGCGCTGCAACGCTCAGCTCCCGGCACCATCTACGCCGGCGAGCAGTTCTTGCTTCGTTTCAAATTCCCGCCTAGAGTCCTGGTCGCAAATTACTGCATGTGTGTTTTGATGGAGATTCGGACCAAGGCCCACTCGCAGATTTGAGCAGATGGACATGACATGAATGTGAGTGCAGCTGCTATTCAACTGGTCCCTCTGCTAGGCTCCTCATCAGTTCCTCAAGCCTCCTAATACGTGCGTCCGATGACGGAGAGTGAGAACTGAGGATATCCCTTGGAGAGCCCGGAGGTGGCCCACATCCAGCACTTGATGGAATCAAGCACAGAGAGACAGTTTGTAGAATCCCAGCAACAGTAGTCTTGTCCAGTCCACGCCGCCAGGTCGTGTTCGAGGGCCCGTCACCTGTGCATCCGCACATCTACTCCAATGGGCACCACACCAGCGATTAGAATGACGGTAGGAGATGCCATCCAGAGCAGCGAACATGCGCAGCAACGAAATTATGGTACCGTTAATGGTTTCAGGCGTGTCATGAGAACCGGATGAGTGAACAGAGATGAGAAACGCGCACGAACCCAGTAGCTCCATATTGCAAGCAGCATACCTGCCCTTGCCCGAAGCCCAAGCGCTTCTTTGAGGCATATTTGTTTGTCAATACTCTACGATGCATGGAGCCCGGCTCTGACAGCCGCTTCCTTACCGTCTCCCTCAGTCCTAGCGTTGCCTTGGACGTGCCGCTTTTTTGTGTAAGCGACAGCGTTGGAAGGCACAGGCCGGAGAGGACTCCTACGGCTCAATGAACTAAGGTGCATGCCGTTTGCATGAGCATTGTTTCAATGCTCAGCAGTGCACAAGAGAAGGTTCGGCCTCAGGACAAGCTTTGTAGGGAGGGTCGTCATTCACCGGTGGGGATCGTAGAGAAAGTGCAAGCCCAGTCACTGCACCTGAACGTTTGCTCTTTCATGCGCACGGCAGGATGACGCAGCGTATGTTTCGCGCGTGGGGCATCGCTCGCCGAAGCTGCAAGGCTCTTGGACATGAACGTGTGTGGTCACGCATCACGACGATGAGTCAGTGAAGTTGCATCTGCAAGCCGCAGCTCCTGAACATTCAAGCCTTGCGACAAAGTCGGAATAAGAGAAAGCGCCGACAAAGCGCCGAAACACTGTCTTTCTGAATTGGCCTTTGGAGATCTCCCTGTGGGCTCGACTCTCCGAGCTGAATGCCTGCCGAACGAACAGTTCAGGACGAGTTGCAGTAACTGGCAGTAACCTGTGTGTATTTTTCTCACCAAGCCTCGCTTCCAGACCTATCTCGGGATCTAGCAACACATGCAATCATTTTGGATTGCGAAATCTTGCAAGAACAGGGAGAGTACCTTTCAGCATGGCAGCATTTTCCGGGCCTAGGCTGACGAAGCTGGCTTCTGCTATGGGCTTTCAGAGCAACGCAGGTGGAACAAGACGCGAGAAGCAGCTGGCTGGCGACATCATGTGATGAAGTCTCCTTCTGCATTCTGTTTTGGATAACCTTGTTTGAAGCCAGCATCCTCCTCACCTTGCTAAACTACAGACGCCCTGCAACAATAATCCCTAGCATGCCATATTTACGGTACGGCCTTGTACAGCTTCCGGCGGGGATTGGGACACCGGGGGAAAGGATTGCATTTCCGCTGAGGTCCAGATGGCATTTCGACGACGACCGAATTTGAGCGTGGCACAAAGTGCTGCACAGCCCATGCAGAACTTCGAATTTCCCAAAAAGGAAGGTCCTACTGCAACGTGTGCGCTCAGTGTCTCGTGGGATTTCTGACTCGTTTGATGGGCCACGGCATAGGTTGGTAGTGATTTGGGACTTTCGTGTTTTGGCGGGGCCTTGTAGGTCTTGATTCCTGGGGCCTGACCTTCTGAGCTGTGGGGCCTGGGGCTGTTCGCCCAACCCTGTAACGCTGGCTGCATCGCCAACTCGCCGTCCCCCGAAAGCTCAAACATGTCGAGTCCGGTTCGAACCTGGTTTTACGTGCCTGTTCAAAAATATTGTTCTTATTGACCTTGTCAGCAGTAGTTCTTCTGAGCTGCCATCGAGCTGAAGGCAGCAGACGATAAGAAGCACGTGCCTTCTGGATTCGATGCTTCTGTTTAACTCCCGAGAAACCCTCTTCGGCAGCCGACAGCTGACACCAAGCCGAACTCAGCCTGAGAATGAGCCCGGATCTCAAACCCAAGCCCATATACTGGAAAGTACAGAAAATTAAGCAACGAAGCTTACAATCCAAGTTCTGTGGCTAAGAACGACCATGACGGGGATCCAGGGGGTTCTGGTTAGCGGGCTCATCATCATGATTTTGTGGCGGCATATCGGGCTGTTTTCCTCGTCTTTGGCCTTCCTCAAGAGTGACTTTACAGATTGGGACTGCCGACGCGTGGATTCAAAGCTTGTCCTGTGGAATACGCTCCGGGAAGTTGCTGTTGCAGAAGCAGATGCCGCGGAGTCTGCTCTATTCACTGTCCCGAACCTAGTCTCTACAGCGAGTGAGCTTCTGGCCTGCAAACAGCATTAGTATGTTAATGGCTTCTGCGCATCTCACCTGAGACTTAATTAAATCACTCGACATTCTGCTTGTGCAGAGCCAGTTTCAACCAAGTTTCGAAACATCCCCTGAAGCGATTGAGACGCTGTTCTCTGAATGCCCGCTGGGCACGATCTTTCTTCTGGAGATCGCGCTTGGCAGCTGCATGTTGAATCGTGGGCAGTACAGCTTCGAGCCGTGTGACTAGGCAGCTTCAACTTTGGATAGTACATAGACTTGTAATGACTTGCATATCAGCCCGAAGGCAACTGCCGGCAGACGGGTCCCTTTTCTTTGCGGGGGAGTGGAGTAGAGGAAAAAAAGGACGGAAGTCAGGAAGACGTGAAATAAATAAGATAAGAGAATAGCGAGATTGTTTTTCAAAGGAAGGAAGGTAAGGAAGCAATGGAAGACCTAATGAAAGATAGCACACAAAAAACAGCAAGAGGGCTTTGTTCCTTGCGGGCGAATCTGAAAGCTTCGGTACGTGCCATGCCTAGCCCGCGCCGCCCCAAGAGACATGCCTTTACCAGCGCCGCCCAGGGGAGGACAATGAACTAGTTTCGGCTTTGCCTATGTAGGTAAAGAACCCAAAGCAAAGAATGATGCCTGTTTAAATCTAAGTACCAAAGCACAGTGTACATTTCTTTAGTCTTTGCCATGTGTTGGACACTTGCTTGAAGGTGAATGCTCTTTTGGTTGTCGTCAGCGACCTTTGCAGGGGTGTCGGCGCTGCGAGTATGCCGCCGGTCTACAAGACTTGCTCAGGCCCGTTCGAGGTGAGCCTGCTGAGAACCGTCGCGGCTACACCAACGACCACGACGACGACAACAACCACCACCACCACAACAACAACACCAGCAGCAACAGCAATTTTGAATTGGCCGCTGAGCGAGCGGGCTCTGCTCATTGCGGGCGTGTCTGAAACTTGGGTGCGTGTCGTTGGGTCTGCATCTACCAGGTAAGCAAGGAAGGGGCAACATAAAGGCTCAAGGAAGTAAAAACCAGCGGATCCATGCGCGCCCTTAGCAACAGACTGGTTTCGCGGGCCTGAGGCCCTAAGGAGTAGGAGCAGGTTGTGGCCTGGGCGCGAAGGGAGTGTCCTGCAATCATCGCACGTATCTCCTTCATCCGTTTGTGGAAAAGGACAAACAGCATTTGCTGCGAGGCCTCGTTCTAGCCATCAACCAAAAAGGAACACAGAAACCGAGCAAAAAAGAACCAGAGCAAGACCTGATCACCAAGGGCACTCAACCCCTACAGGAACCTCAGAGAAGGAAAACCAATTGCCTAATAAGCGAGGTTGAAAGAAAGAGTGAAACCTGTTCCTGCTAAGCACCTCAGCAAACTGTACGAGGTTGTGGTACGTACGGAGCACTTGCTTCAAGGACACAGTTCACTTTGCCGCCTGCGTGCGGGCTCATCCTACAAGCAAAGCACTTTACAGTGACGCAGCGGTCAAAACCTGACAAGGGCCAGCTCAGGTCACGTCACATGGGCCGTCACTCCTAGCATTGCCTGACCCCGTCGGTAACAGGACAGTAACGAACACAACTGGGAGGGCAGTAGAGGAAGCCCGACACCATGGCACAGCAAGCGCGTCCGCTTAACGACTGCGTTCAGATGTGATGTGGGGCCGGACCAAAGTAGACAATGTCTCAGAACCTGAGTCCATTGTGTTGCAATGTGCTTGCTGTCTTGAAAACAAGCCTGGCCGGGCGACCTGTGGAGGGCCTCCCCTTGAAGCGAGGATAGCCAGCCCAGGCACTCGATGGCACCCCATTGCAAGAGAAGTCCCTGGGGCACACTTCGGGGCCAGTGTTAGGAGGATGCTTTCGAGTCGCATGCCGTAAAATTGCATCCATTTTCTCCTGTGTCTGACTTGTTCCCAGACGCTGGCTGCTTAACAGCGGTGCTGCACAAAAGGCTCTCGACGGTGTCGCATGAATTCGATCCCACTGGCTATGTCGCAGCCGGTGGCCGTCTACCTTGCCTGTGCAAGAAAGTGTAGTTTTCGAAGCAGATTGCGTGAAAAGCGCAGGCGATCCAGATTCTACTTGTGAGAAAGCGCTTGTAGCCAGCAAAACTGCGCAAGGAAAACTTTTGGCTGTCCCTGGGTGTCTCGTCCAGAAAATCGATGAGAAGCAAAGGACCAGGCCCCGTCTCGAAAGCTTCTTTCAAGGCACCCAAGCTCAGAGTGGCTCAGAGGAAGACTGCCAGTGCAAGGGTACAATTGTTTTTTGATGACCGTTGTGCTCAAGTCCACCCGGAGATCGGAGAGAAGCACTGAGGCACTGAGGCACTGTCGGATCGCCATCCGCTTGTTTCGCAAAACTTGGTGTAACCCAAGTACTGCTCCCTCCACCGCGCGAAAAGGTGGAAACCCTGCTGCTTATCTCCAACTCGTCCAGAACTAACACTAAGATGCCGTCTGTGAACCGTAGCGGCAGCATCAACAACAACAGCGACAGACGAAGCAGCAGCAGCAGTAGCGGCAACCACAGCGACCACACGATGACAATTTCAAGGGTGGCGACGTCCACGGCCCAAAACCGATGACATTTTCCAAGATCGCGATGTCCAAAACAGTACGATGAGCATGAAATTTGAATACAGAATACCAAACGCAAAAGCAATTCGAAAAGTCGGAAGAAGGAGAAGAAGAGGAGCCAGACGAAGAAGAGCATGACAACACAAGAACAACCACAAAAACAACAACAACTGTAGCTACAGTCAAGTTCCGGGACTTGCGAAATGATGTCACAGGAGACAGCGAAGCAGCAAATAGATCCAACTCTGTGATCCAGGTTTTGGTTCGATTTTACAAGCTCAGGCGAAGCGACTGGAAAGAGATTGATGGAGTTCATGTTTCAGCGGAATGTCTCCATAGCCGTGTTGCTCACAACGGTTTGGCCGATCAAGCAGGCCTTTGACATGGAATTCGTGTACGAGTTTGGCACGGACACCGCCAGCCAATGGCACACCTTCCAAAACGACCCGTTTCACAAGTGTGACCAGGTTGCCTTGGCAAGTGTTTTGACGGAAAGGCATGTGAAAAGCACAAGAGGGCGCACGGCAGGTCACCCGTACCAGCTGAGGCGCAGGCATGAGCGCAGGGTCGAAAGAGTGGGAGCTTCTCCAAGATCTCATTTGGACAGCGGTCAGAAGCGAACACATGGTTTTTGCAAAAGTTCGTGACTTCATTTTCCACGAGGACAATGCTTTACATCCTTGAGACATCAATCAACTGGCTGAGCGTGCGCCTGTGAGGACATTCAGGACCTGGTGACCGACCAGCTGGAACAGCCACAAAGCTTTGTGCCCGAGTGTTTCTTGGGATGGGTCGCCACGCTGCTCCTAGAAGATGTTTAGAGCAATGTTCTGCTGTGAGATGCGAAGATTATCTTGAACTTCGGTCTTCGTAGCGTCGTAGCTGTAGCTGTTGCTAGGATTCGGAAAGACGCCGTGAGTCAAAGTCAGACGCTTGACGATTCATGACAACCCAAGAATCAGGAACCGCTGCAGCCAGCAGTGGAGGGAAATGTTTCTCGATTCAGCCCCGTCTTATTCGTGGGTTTCTCACGACAACAAAGCAGACAAATTGTTGTCAACCTTTTTCACGATACGCTTGTTTCGCAGAGGCAATGAAGAAGAAGCATGATGCATCATTGTTCTGAATTCGTCCGCTGTCTGCAATTCGGAAGCATCCATTCGCGACTTCGTCAAATTCTCTGCGACGGCACAGAGATGCACACAATGTTCCAGATACACATGAGACATCAGCCTGCACTTCATTCTTTCATTCTGCCGCGAGGCCTTTTTGCACACGCAGGGCTGATTCATTCTACTTTGCCCACCGTTGATGCGCAATGTGACGAGGCCACCTTCCGTCACCACTTGGAAGCAATGATTCTGAACTCTTGTCTTCACAATCCATTCTCAAGCCGTTCCCGACATTGCGATCCGGGAACTGGTCCTGAACTCGCTTTCATGCTTCCGAAATCCAGTTTGCTCCCGAATTCGCTGCCTTCTTTTCCAGATCTTCTACTGTGGTTTTGTGACACCGCGAACTAGTTTCTAGTTGTTGTCGATCCTTCAGTTAATGGCAAAACAAGCAAGGCTTATCAAAGCAAGCGTCACGTGGCATATGGAGTCGTTTGTATACTTCTCCTACGAGCAAGTCCTGAAGGGATACCTGGCCGATTTGACATTTTGGGAGTTCTTTGGTTCGACCTGGTTGCTGAGCGTGCTCCTTGGATGCTCGGCTCATGTGTTTGCCGCAAACTTCCAATGATAAAGGAAGCCCATATAGAGATAAGGAGTTCGCTTCGATTATTTCGGAAGTGTTCAAGGTTTAGTGAGTTGTGCGAGCCCTCACCCGTATATATCGCTCCAAGTACGCAACACTTCAACGCTATTGGGTGTCAACCATCTGGTCTGAAACAGCCATGAAGGTCAGGTTTGCGTGATGCATCGCACCATCAACGAGATGGACTTCTGGGGATCTGAGCTGCTCAAAGATCCGCACATCAACTCGATTGGCTCTCTGCGCCTCAAGGCGTCGCCGATTTTCTCCGCAACGGCCGCTGCCGTGCTGGGCGAGGGCGCGAGAGCTTACCGCGTGAATGGAGAGAGTCGGCTTCTGACGTATGCCGTGTACGTCTGGGGCGAGGATAGCGGCAGAAATTACATTGATCGTGCTTCCTTTTCGTTGCTTCTGTTTCTAAATTTGCCATTTGCTAAAGGCCTTCCTGAAGTGGCTTCCGGCGTACATCAAACGCTTCCACAGTCTCGCAGTCTACAATCTCATGGTTTTCGGTGACACCGCCACGTACCAGGTTTGCTCTGCGATCCAGAGGGCTGTTTGCCTCCAACTGGATACGAAGAACTCTCTCCACCGCTATACGATTCCGTTGGCTCTCATGAACCTGGGTGTGGATGCCTTCATCCTCGATTTTGACATCTATCCTTTTCAGGACGACCTTGTGGTGGTTTGCACTGTGGTTTGCTATCTTGACGAAAGGTTCAGCACAACAGTTTGCCAACTCTAAGACATGGGGACTTGCTTTAGCTCACCTTTTCTCTAAACTCTAAACGCCTCAAAGCCATCCCTGGCTCGGGCGGGATTCTGTTTTTGGACCAATAAAAGCGTACCTTCTCCTGGTTTCTGCACCTGTCGGATACAACTGCTTGATTTTGCCAAAATGAACGGAATTGGTCCTTTTGTCGCCGCCAGAAAAATTGACAACGTTTCATTTCTGAAAGCGTTGCCACTACAACCGTCCTTTGTTAGCTTAAGCTTTTGCTAGATTTGGAAATGGAAACAGAGCCATTGCGACCAGGAAGCGTGAAGAGTTAATCTCAGCTAAACCAAACGGAACATGTGAGAGAATGACAGCCCCAAATGCAAGCGCTTTACGCGGTTTACAGAGCATCAAAGAACTGCTCCATGAGCTTCATTTGGTTCATGATTACTTGCATATTCTGCCTGGTGTAAGAAGGTAATAGGGGCTGGGGTGGTTCATTCTGCCTGCTGCAGTTGGTTGGCCGCCAATGCTACAGCACTAAACTAGTTGCCAAACAACCATGGGGCCCACGAAGATGAAAAGCCGATGCAGGATTCGTGTTTGGGGCTGTTGATGCAAGGTATTGCTTGCTTTGCCAAGCCAAACCCAAGCCATTTGCAAGCTTAGCTCGTTTCGGTTGGTGCCATTCGTGCTGCACAGACCCTAAACGAAGAGGATCCATGTCCGTATCAATCTTACCACTCCTCCTTCGGGCTATTTTCGCTGTTTGACCATTCCATTCTATCCTAGTGGCTCATCCTTAGTGCTCAACCTAGTCTTGCGCCTGTTGCTCTCTACTCACTGCAATTAGGGATTCTCCAAAAAGATTGCTGCACCAAGATGAACTTTGCAAACTGGCATTCCTCAGCAGCTTGCACAACTTTTCCTTGCAAGTTGAACTTCCCCGATAGTTTGCCGTACTCAGCAAACTGAGATTGTTGCAACATCTCAAGTTCTTCAATAGGTGGCCCCAGAACAGTGCTTGTAAACTTGGATTTCCACAACAGCTTGCTTGGGACCGATCAACTCCGCCCCTAAACTTTCCGAGTCCTCAATACCTCAGCTCTCCTTCTCGCGCCAGAGGATCCAACACCCGTTTTGATTTCTGAATTGGAGAGCTACAGTGTCATGCCGGAGTTTCTGATTTCTGGCTCATTCGGCGATGCCTGCATTTGCAATGCTATCGGGTCGGACTGAGTAACATTTTTTTTGCTAAGTCACGGTCCAAATTGTGCAACAGGCCTTGTGAAGGTGGCTTGCAAGAATGGTATGGCACTGTGAACAGCACCTCCAATGCATTCTCCCAAGCTTTGCGTCCAAACACCCGCGGCTGTAGGAAGACGACAAGTCACGCTGAGGCATTGGCGTTCTACCGGAGCACGCCTTCGCTTCGCGACTTCATCCGCGGCTTGTTGGACTGGCTTTATGAGCATCCTTTCCCACATGCTGTTTCGCAGAGGGCACTCTCTGCATTTTTGGGGGAAGCCCGGCTTGGAGACATCACGGTGCCAAGTGGCAATAATGCATGATAAATTTGATAGGATTTACTTGGCTTCGGCTACCCGTTTTTGTTCAAGATTTGCGAAGCAAGGAGAATCTGTGGTTGGGTTTTTGCTCGAGCTCAGAATTCAGAACACCACCAAGGAATCACCCATAAAGAAAAGGCAAAGCACAGGCCCCTTCTTCGTGAAAGCTGAGAGACTGGCCCCTTGGCTCCCCGACCGTGCTAGACCTGGAATCGCTTGGGCTGTGCTAGATCCAGGCGGGCGGAGTGCGCCGATGGAAAGCATTGGGAGCATGAAATCGAAATTGGATGAAATTGGAACAGTTGTCAATTGTCTATAGGAGTTTACAACAGTCGCAGAGCAAGATCTACCTGTTGTCGCATTTTGTTGGAGCAGATGTGCATCTAGAAATATCTGGACTGCAGCCCTGGTTAGAGGCGTGCAGTTTTCCTCGTCAGCCAACCTTGAAACCTCGGGCTGGGCAGGCGACGCAGAGGACCACGCTTTGCAAAAGCCTGTTGTTTCGGACGGGAAACTAGCACCGAGTGCAATGCAAGCAAGGGGTTTAGTCATGTCAGGTGTTTGCGTCCCCTCACGGGCTTTGCCAGAAACCATCAGCATCAAGCAAAGGGTGTGACTTTGAGCTCACATATGCACCGACAGGCACATCGATACGGCCAACCGATACATCGCCCGAGGAAGCCCGAGGCGTTGACTGCCTACACGTCCGTTTGACCACGAACACCGGTCAGTGCGAGAAACACTCACCACACCGACATAGTTCCATATTGTAAGCTCCAACGTATTTTCACACCCATGTTCGTGTGGGCTTGGACCTGGACATAACCCGTGTTCGGAATGTGCCCCAGTTGACTGATATCCACGGCTGAGAAAAGTCGTTGCAGTGCTGTGTAACATGCTGTTAGATTTCTTGTCTGCGTAGAGGACATTGTGATCTATCACTTCTTCTATGGCGCTTGGTTGGATGCCGAAGTTGCCATGGCGATAGACGTGAAAGACAGGGAAATGTTCGATATCTTCTACAACACAAGCTGTGGCAAAGAGCCGCAGGTGTGTGAAGACCGTCGGAATCAGAGGATTCGGAAACACCTCGTTGCAAACAGGCGGGGAGATGTACGCAATCATACAGAGCGAGCGTGCTTCTCGCTACCATACTCTTCCGTTGATCTGGAACCTGTGCCGAAAACTGGGCTGGGAAAATTGAGCCGTGCCTGAGCTAACGCCGCGTCGGGTTGTTCCGGTGACAGGGTCATGTAGGTGTTTGTCGTCCTCCTCATCCTCATCTTCATCACCAGCGTGGGTTGTATGCATTGGATTCGGATTCGGACACAGTCGACATCTTACAGTGCCGTACAAGGCCTTATTGTTTTCGGGTATAGGATTTTGGAGAGCACACCTCTCAAAGCTGTTGCTGACGTAAGTGCTAAACCCTGAGCACCTTCCGACGCTTCTTTTTTCATTGTTTGATGGCTCCCTTCACAACGTGCACCCGAAAGCTCAAAGGGCGCTGTATGTTGAGCAATGCAACAGCAAGCCTGAGAGGCACAGAGAAGGGTATCCCGGCGCCATGCAAGAACAACCTTCGGTCGCCTCAAGTCGCTGAAGGAGCGGACAGCACTAAGGCCGCAAACGCATCGTTGCCACGAGAACGGAAAGCTCCGGGGTAGCCCATCATTAACAAAGCATTCCGTTGCCCATTGCACCCCATTAAGACACTAAACATCGTCCAGCATGGCCACTCTATGACTTCTCGGGCGTTGGCCGTAGCATGATGAAGCTGCAATGTCTGATGATTGTGCACATCTGGTGGAAGGCGTTTGCCGAGTTCTCCGAACCGGGCTTGGAGAATTTAGTGCTGGCAAAGCCCGTCGCTCAAGGCTTCAACCGCACAGCATTCGCAAGAACCTTGCATGAGGTTTTGCGTGACCCGGTGAGGTTGAAGTTCGGTGAGTTTGAGAAGATTTCGAATTTCAGATCTGGGAAGACATCGGACGGGAACAAAGAGCTCACCGCTATCTCCGTTGCATTTGGCCACGACTCATCCATGGCAATTAGTCAAGGAGGGTCGATTCAGTGTATCCTGGAGCTTGAGAGGTTGTTTGGCAAGCGGTACTTCTGCCCACTGCAGCCTTGTGCGGGCCCTGCCGTGCCGTGCCCGGATTGGACATGGAGAGTCAGCATCAAAGATGCTTTGCGGGCATTCCATAGGCACTGCTCTTGTGGTGGCACTGACTGCCCAACGGATTTTGACGTTGGAGTGTTTATCACGTTTCCGGCACCTCGATACACTGCGATTGCAGATCTCATACATCAGGTTTTTTCCGTAAGGGAGTGGCGTCTCCTGGATCATCACCATGCGCATGCATTGATAGGCTTCTTCGATTTGCAATTCCCATCAGCTTTGATAGTCTCCTATGACGGGGAGGGCAATGATGGGACCTTCAACGCATATGTTGGGTTGGGCCGCGACATTGTGCGGGTGGCTCATGGGGGCGCTACTGCCAGAAGTGACTGGACTCTGGGACGAGCATCAAATGTTCTGTGCACACTTCGACCTTGCGAATGATGCGGTTTGGGTGGATGCAACGATTTTCTATGATCAGGTCATGGTCAAGAGTACAATTCTCAGCGTTGCTGGTAAGCTCATGGGCTACGCAGCAACCGGTGAGGCCACCGGCACAACGATTATGGAACTGCAAAGCTTTGTCCGTGCCTATTTCAGGTCAAAGGAAAGATACGGCTTGATACCTGCGCGTATCCTGAGGGCTGCTTGTGGAGACCTGACGTCCCAGCGATCTCTCGCTTGGATAGTCCAGGAAGAGTTCAATCAGCTGGTTACAGGTGCCGTAGAAAGTTTGTTGCTTCGAGTGTCTGAGAGTCTGCCATTTTCCCTCCACGGTCTCGTGTTCACCGGCGGCTGTGCCCTAAACGTTATCACCAACCAGCTAGCTTTCGAACGATTCACCGACCGCGGTGCCGCAGTCTCCAAGACGATCGTGGAAGTCCTCCCCAGCAACTTGAGGGTCAAGGCCTTATTCCCGCCAGTGTGGTATGAGCTTTTGAGTTTTCAGTCGTGAGCTTCGGGTCACGGTGCGGCTTGCTTTGTTCGGCCCTGGAGGACTTCCACGTCCCCCCCGCCCCGAACGACTCTGGGCTGTCGGCAGCTGGCCTGTGGTCGATAGCGTCTCCACAGCAGCACCAGCAACTGCAATATTTGGGGTTCGGCCTCTGGGATGAAGAGGCTTTGGAAGCATCAGCAGCAGAATGGAAAGCAGTTCGCCTCAGTTTTCTGGGAGGTGTGGACTACCTTGCTGCCCTACTTGCAGGCTCGAGTTAGGAAAGCACGGTTTGACCCCAGCCTGTATATTCCACAGTGTATGGCGGCATGTAGGCTGCTCCCCATCAAGGCAAATTCGAACTGTAAAAGATTGTAAAAGACTGTTGGCTTCTCCAGCCCAGTTTTCCTTTCAGCTCTGCCGGAAAGGTGAGAACCGAACAAGGAAGCCCATTGTTGCCGTGGTACGCGGACGCCAAGAGTTTGGACCACGGGCTTTGGGTCACCGGTCGCTGCTGGCACTGCCCGAAGGCACTGAGATAAAAGACCGGTTGAATAGGCTCAAGTTCCGACAATGGTACCGGCCAGTGGCCCCGATGATCGCAGATGAAGACTTGGAGGCTGTCTTTGGCTACGTGGCTAAATCTCCCTACATGTACCTTGGATGCATGGCGATTTCGGTCGGCCTCCTGTACCAGACGACAGACGACAGTGACTCTGCGACCACGGTGAAGCTCCCTGTGTTGCGGGCAGGCCAGATCACCATCGAAGAGTTCAAGATCGCGCCGCTTACTGTGGATGTTCCTGGCAAGCTTGGGCAAACGGTTCGCAAGTCGAGCGCGCAGCCGGTTCAGAGGAAGTTGGCTACCTTTCGATGCACACTCCCGAAGGAATTTGCAAAGGAAGGCGCCTGGAAGGATGCTTCGAGCAACATACAGAAGGTCGTTCGACAGTTCTGTTCGGATGATGCTTTCCATTCGTCATACCAGTGGCAACGCCGTGAGTGTTGGTCCAAGGCGGGGCACTGTGATGAGTACCTGGAAGGCTACGTACGCATCGTCGACGAGCACGCGGACAAGTTTGCAAGGATGAGCGGACGCAGTGGCTGCTTTTTCGAGAGACTGAGTCGCGAGCAAAAGAAGCCTTTGGTGCAGTGGGTACCAAGACAGGAGAACGAGTCCAGTTCCACCTACTTCAGCAGGGTGGAGCGCGCGGCCAAGGAGGCTCAACAACCGGCGGCTTTCCGAAAGGGAGGCCGTGACTCTCTGGGCATCAAGTACCTCACTGGAGCGCCCAAAAAGGTGCCAGTTTGTTGGGAGCTCAAAGGCTCCCCAGGGTTTTGGACACAGTCCGATCTGTGCAGCGCTCTAGAAGGAGCCGGATGGACTGAGTTGGAAGTTTTGGCGCCTCCAAGACGAGGCCAGGGATGGCGCATCCGAGGAGTCAACCCCGGTGACGTCTCAGACTTCGTCGAGGCGGTCGAAGTGGGAAAGCACATCTTGGTCATACAGCGTTGTACAGGTGCCAAGCCGACCAAGATCACTACGCATCCACTTCGCAAAGTTTTTGGTGATGGTGGTCCCAGCGGGCACAAGACTCGTGCCGCCATGCAGACTGACAGTGGGGAAGCCGAGACTACTACTGCTGACAGTCACAAACAAGAGGGTGAGGCCTCAAGCAAGAAGCGTGAGACCGTCACCAAAGGGCCAGATTCGAAGCGGTCAAAGACTGACTCCTTCGATGGTTACACCGTGCGAGATTGTGGTGGCAATGGCGCGTGTGGCTACAATTGCTTAGCCATGGGCAAGATGTTGGCAGATGGTGCCAAATGGAACGACATCAAGGACGAGGCTCAGACTCGTGGGCGCACCCTTCGTGTCGAAGTACAGCAGCATGTCAAGCGGCATCCTGAAACGTACAAGAGTGCTTGGGCCAAGGACCCACAGTGGACAGAAGTCAGCGAAGGAGGGTCCGTACCAGAAAACTACCAGCAGTGGGAGGACAGTCTTGCTCGCGACTCTCGCTACATATGCGGGGCTACGTTGGAAGCAGCAGCTACGCGATTGGGAGTCACGGCCATCGTACATCAGTTCAAAGATGGAGAATGGAAGAATCCGGTGGT